TGAATTGATTTAGAACCAAGCGAAATCGCCTATCAAGATACGTTTACACTAACAAAGATTTAGTGACATATGCAATGATTTGGAACAATCTCTTTCCTCCACTATTAAATTTTGACAAACATCAACTATTTAAACACTCAACTTCAAGATTTCTAACACGCATTAGATGTTAGAAAGATATGTTGTAAATAAATAAATAATTTCGAGATCAACTTTAGAGTTTTAGCTTCATCGATCAAAAAGCGATGCTTTGTCAGTTTTATAGAAAAGATTCCAGTTTAAGTATTCTTATTGAGAGGAACACAGCTGCCTCAATATATACATGACCAGCATTTTTTTATTTTTTATTTTTAATAATCTATTATTATTAAGCGTAAGGGATATGCTTAGAAATCATTACAATAATTTAGAAGAAATATGAATTTTGAACGCAAGACACATATGTGAAATCCAATACCCTGTTCACAAAAATACTAAACCACGTGCGAATACATGACCAGTGTTCTTAATTAGCTAAACATGTCAATGCCTTAAACTTAGTGGTTGGGGAAACTTAAGCTAAAGTACTTTATATGTAAAAAAGATTCGATTGTATATGTCGCATACATGATACGTCTAACCTTAACCACCCTATCGAACTCGATCCATAACACATATTTAAAAGTATATAGTATATACCCACATATTTGGACTTTGAAGGAAAAGTGAGAACGATTACGTGAATAATGTTCTTGGACATGCATTAATTGGCGCCAGTGGTCAAGGAGATCCTAAATCTTGATCATTCAACAATACTCAAAGAGAAAATAACATGTTTCTGCAATATGACGCGTGGTTTTGGTTTAGGTTTATAGGTTATTTGTTTTGATATGCTAAATAATATGAAAACTAATACAGTGTATGTTTCTTTGACATATACACATCAGGGATATGATAAGCGATTTATAACTTATCTTAAGAGCTATAACCTTTTTACAAGTGTTGTCTTTTGTCATGAAAAGATAAGATGGTCCGAAAAAGACTCACAATTCTATGTAGAAGGTACAATAAATTTCAATTAAAAGGAGGATTCAATCATCCAGACAAATCATTCAATGTGAAAATAAATCTTCTTATGTGTTATAAACATAAATTAGTAATACCACGTTACTAACTTAACAATGTGATGTCATCCGCATAACACGTAAAAATGATACACTACGTATCTCTGGTTTCCTATACCTATAAAATTTCTCAACGATATGATATGATGGAGAATTTTAGTAAATCAATGAAGGAAAGTCACACTTAATAAAAAAGTACCACTATTGTTACTACATACTCTCAAAAAAAAAGAACAACTTACATGACAGATTGTCACGTAGCATCTCTTACCAGTATAATAAGAAAATGTGGACAAAAATTTATCATTGCCTTTATTTTATTAGCATGGGACGCTATTATAACAGTAGACTCTTATCATGAAAGTCCTCTCTTACAAAAGGCAAAAAGAAAAAGAAAATATGATTACTATATTGGACCCTGCATTAAAACAGGTAATGGGCCATACCTTGTTATTTGTTGTATGATCCCCATTTTTGTCATGGGCTTGTTTGCTGACATACAACTTAAACCTTATCATAGCTCAAAAGAGACTGCATATAAACCAAACAAACAAATATGGCCAAATCGATCGTCAAAGTTGTATCATGACCAGTAGATTGTTACTTATGACTAATAAGATTGTTCTCACCCGTTAATCCAGACAAATCAGCTTCTTCAAAACGTCGCCGTGTGCACTGACAAACAATGCAGTCAGATCATAAGCCCATATGTCAGATCAAAATGTGGACTTGGTGCAACATGTCCATCTTATAATTCTCTCTTTGCTTCTTGGAAACCCTAGAGGAATGTGACTAGTATTCTTGTGGGTTGCTCCAGTTTTTTATACCAACAACCTGCTGGGCATTCTGTGTTTGGTAGTAAGCCAGCTCGTGGACATCCCAATTGGGTCTTAATGTTTGGAGGAATTGAGGTTCTGATTTTTCAGAATATTACGATTTAAAACTTGCACGGCAAGAAAACAAAGCTTATGCGGCGATGGTCAATCATCATATAACATCCTATTTATAAAAAAAAAACTAAACCATAATCTAGATTCAGATGGTAGATGCGGATTCACATAGACAGATGACAGTTACATTTTTAGACATTTGGGCAGATGTAGTATCCTAGCATACAACAACTTGTCTTTGAAATCAAGTTGGAAATCAGATTACATAAAATAGATAGATTACAAAATTACGAATAATACTTAATTAACTGGAAACATTGAAACACTACAAATTGCCAAGGCTACTTTACCCTCAGATATTACGTTTTATTAAACTTATATCCTCCAAAGTTACAAAACATCATTTTTATGAAGAACTAACCCTAATCCCAATAGGCAAGAAATTCAAAGTTTTATCCTACAAGAGAACCCTAAGACATAAAATACCGAAAATACCCTAAGTTCCTAACGTAATAACAAACAAACCACTAAGTAATACGTTCTAGTGATATTCCTCTTCATTTGCAAGTGAGAAAATAGTAATAGTACGTTTGCAACCCATCCATTACTCCACTCCTTGAGTGTACCAAACAACTAACTAATCAACTTTTCCAACACCTAAACATATGATGAAAGTGGTGGGACTGTAATTGACCCTGGGGCAACCATTGCATTCATGGATCGAGGAGTCAATTTTCAATGTGTCAGCAGCAGTAGCACAAGCGTTTGAGAGTCAAATGATTGATCATGAGAAACAACTTGCACAATGTGGGTTTGATTGTTCAATTGAGTGGTGGGCCGAAGATAATTTTGGGCAAGAGTGGTTCTTCGTAGACCCAATTTTTCGTTTCTGGATATTCATCAATTTGATTAAAATAAAATTTTATACCCGTATATAAAATTACCACAAATGTTTTAGTGATTTTTTAAGGAAAACAACGGGCTTAGAGACTTCTTTTTAAGTTCTTAAATCTATGGATTAAAAAAAAAAAAAAAAACAGAAAATGTTTTTCATACATATGCAACAAAGCTCTTGTGGCTTGGCTTACCAGTGGGATATGAGTTTCATGGTGTATATGAATTAGTAGTAGACGATTTTTCTAATTAATGTGTCATTAATTAGTAGAAAAGATAATTATGAAAAATTAAATTAGAAGAATTATAAAATAACAGCATATTTAAAACTTACTAGTAGTGAGTTTAAAACTGAATCGGCATCCACTCATCAAAATTCAACGACAAACCAAGCTCTACACGAGTTTTTCTCAATAGTAATACCAAAATACAAAGAAAATATTAATAAATTAAAAATGATAGTTGTTTGAGGGTGACACGACGACGCTCCCATGATTCTTTCACGTGTCATGTAACTCTTGTTGCCGTTGATTTCCGTTTCGTTACACCAAGAGATCTCTAACAAGGAAAATGATCATTGCCGAATCATTTTATTGGGGATCCGAGAAATCCAGTAATCATGACCGTTTATCGTATATCGTGCAGTTAAAAATTATTTAAAATTTAAAATTTAAAATTAAATATAAATAATACCTAACAAAAACTGACCGTACGATGTACGATGAAGGTAAATGATCACAGAATCCTTTTCCCTCTAACACCAAACTCATCACAGCGATGATGCTTCTCCAGGTCCCACCCCGCCTGTTGTTTGGTGATCACGGAAGCAGCAGATCATCAGCTTCTCTGTCTGCATTAGCGCGACGTCGTATGTGTTTGTTAACGGTCATCATACAGATATTCCGCGTGCCAGAACAAGGTAACGAGAGTCAGAGACTTCAACGGCTACAAGTTTTGCTTTGTTTTCACCCGAGACTTTTCGACGTCGTTTTGTCATCATTTTCAACGCCGTAAAATTGGAGATGGAATTTCAGTGTATTTACAAGGGTACCCCACCTTATGCCCCCATCAAGAACAAGGTTCCTTTCATGCTAAAGCTGTCCCAATAATTTCCATTCCAACTGTATGTTGTGGCTTTTTAGCTAATAATTATGTAAATTGTCACATGGTATTATAGTATTATGGTTTTAGATTTGATTATCGCCAAAGCCAAATTTGAATTATAATATTGCTAATCTATAGTGAGGTTTAACCCACTCCTCGTCCCTAGTTAGAGAATATCGTTTGTTAAAAAAGAATTATGTAAATTGCAAAATATAAAATGGGCAAGTTTTACCAAAATTAAAAAACTATAACAAAGGGAGAGAGAAGGAAGTTTGATGGAGGCAAGCCACAAAGTGCTTTCTTTTGCTAACAAAATTTTGATAAAAAGAGCGTAAAGTTCAAGATTATTACAACTTTTCAATATGTCTTTTTTTCTTCATCTTTTTTGGTTAAAGGCTTCCAGCCTAAGGAAAGTTTAAAGTGCTACAAATTGTTTATGCAGTGGGGATTACACTATAATTCTACTGGTATAAAAATACATAAATATCCAATATCATATATATTTTGATTTTATAGCTCATGTCAATACAATGAAATATAAAAGCAGGATGGGTCGCTACAAGTAGTGACCTATCTCAGTTATAAATGTCCTCTACAAAATAATCAATACCCGTAGTTGCATCAGCTAAGAAATCCACTTAGCTAAAAATATACAGCTCCCAAAAATATGTGTAAAAGAGAATGCGATCCATCTTATGTCTTCAATAATTGTCGTCAGCCTCCAAGAGACTAATTGTGGGTCTGTGTGTGTGACTGATCGTCCCCATGTTCGTACTTGGAAGTGATCATCTCTAGGCCAGTTGTTAGTAGTGATGTGCTGCCCTTTTTTCTTCTTTTATTTTACATCGTGTATGAATGATTTATCAACAGTTAATGCATGTGGAATTTTACCCAAGCAAACAAATCCCAGTAGTGGCATGTACTGTTAATTTATGTGCAACGAAGGGCAGTTTGTGTTGCCCAAATCGAACTTGATTCTCCTTTTTCTACTTGCTTTAACTATAAAGAAGCTCACCAACATCGAACCCTCAGAAAAGTACCAACTCTTTACTCCAATGGCAAATCCCACCTCCCTCCTCCTCTCTCTCACCACTCTCCTCTCTCTCCTCCTCCCTTCTCTCTCATCCAAACTCACCATCCCTCTCTCCCCATTCCCCAAACCACCGTCCACCGATCTACTCCAATCCCTCAACTTCCATGCCACCGCCTCCGTCTCCCGAGCCCACCACATCAAAAACCCCAAAAAATCCTCCCACCATTCTCCCTCCACCCAAGTCCCCCTCTTCCCCCACAGCTACGGCGGCTACTCCGTCTCCCTCCGCTTCGGCACGCCGCCACAAACCTCCTCTTTCATCATGGACACCGGCAGCAGCCTCGTTTGGTTCCCCTGCACCAAACGCTACACCTGCTCCAAATGCCAGTTCCCAAACATCGACCCCTCAAAAATTCCAACTTTCATCCCCAAACTCTCCTCCTCCTCCAAAATCGTCGGCTGCAAAAACCCCAAATGCGCTTGGATTTTCGGCCCCGAAATCCAATCCAAATGCCCGAATTGCAACGACCCAACTAGCCAAAACTGCTCCCAAGCCTGCCCAACGTACATAGTCCAGTACGGTTTGGGCACAACAGCTGGGATTTTACTTTCCGAGTCACTTAATTTTCCCGAGAAAATTGTCCCTGATTTTCTCGTCGGCTGCTCCTTCCTCTCCATCCGCCAGCCAGCCGGAATCGCCGGATTCGGCCGCGGACCGCAATCCCTTCCTGCCCAAATGGGGCTTTCCAAATTCTCTTACTGCTTAGTCTCCCACAAATTCGACGACACCCCACAAAGCAGTGACCTTGTTCTGTACACTGGCAGCGGTAGCTCCGACGAACCCATTTCTTCAGCCCGAAAAAACGAAACGAAAGCTCAGAGCTCGATCTACACGCCGTTTCAGAAAAACCCAGGTTCTCCAAACTCTGCATTTCGCGAGTACTACTATATCATGCTCAGAAAAATCATCGTGGGCAAGAAGCACGTCAATATTCCGTACAAGTTTCTCGTCCCCGGAGCCGACAGCAATGGCGGGACGATCGTGGATTCCGGATCGACCTTCACGTTCATGGAGAAGCCTGTTTTCGAAGCCGTTGCGAAAGAGTTTGAGTTACAGATGGCGAATTACACGAGAGCTAAGGACTTGGAAAACAGGACGGGATTGAGTCCCTGTTTTGATATTTCAAAGGAGGAGAAATTGGAGTTTCCGGAATTGGTTTTCCAGTTCAAAGGGGGTGCTAAGATGGAGCTGCCATTGGCGAACTATTTCTCGCTGGTTTCGAGCTCCGGCGTTGTGTGTTTGACGATTGTTTCAGATGAAATTGTTGGTCCAGGGGGCAATGGTGGACCTGCGATTATTCTGGGGAACTATCAGCAGCAGAATTTCTTCGTGGAGTATGATTTGGAACGTGAGAGGTTTGGGTTCCGGAAACAGAGTTGTAAATGATGAGGCCCCGTCATATTAAAACGACTTACTTGGAACGGATTCAACGCTAGCTATTCTGACATCCATGTCATTGTGACGTTCCGGTCCATATAAGTTGATCTCGCATTGCAGAGAAAAGAAAATAAGAAGCGCAAAACAAGTCTTTGGGCAGTGACTTGAAACGATGATGACAAGTTGTGTAGATTTAAGGGAGGTTAATTATTGTGAGTTTTTATAGATTAGTGATAATTTTTCATGCTGGGGAAGAAGTTTCGATTTGTTTTGCTAATTGAATTATTCAAAGTATGAATATGTATTAATTTATTTAATCAATCTGCATTAGTGACAACTCACTTTGTACTATTTGGAAGGCAGACTTTGCCTTCCCCACTTTTTTTATGGAACCCTTCTTCTATGAGATGTTCTATATGATTTACGTAACGGTGTTAGATCATGTTATAGATGTTGCGTTTGTATTTCTTTTTTTTACGTTGTATTTATTTTAGTAATATCTCTACTAAATTTAAATCTAAGATAAATTCTGAAGTTATATTCATGTTAAATTATGCTTTGTATAGTTTGAGGAGGATGAATCTCTAGTTTTTTAATTTTTCAGAAAAATGTCCCATAAAAGTTCCTTTTTACAGTTAAACATAACATAACTAGATTTTTTTTTAAAGTAGATGAATTTTTAACAATTTTTTGACAAATAATAGGATAGTTATATTAAAAGAGAGAGAGATTCAAATTTAGGTGCAAAGTTTGAAGCTTATTGTTCTAGCCGACTTGAATATACCCAAATCTGCGATAGTACGAAAAAAAATTAAGAAATACGCATTACTTTTCCTTTTCCTCATGGAAACAAAGACCCTTGTTGATTTTGATAGAGATAGTTTAGTGATTGATTTTAATAGCCGTTGTTAAATAACCATTAATGGGAATTTTCCTTTAATAGTATACAAAAGTACACCTTGTAATGCTATTTTCATTTAGCAGTCAATATTTTAGTAGCATCTATTTTCGCTGAAGTTTTGTGAGGAAAAAAATTATGATAATTATAGATGCAATAATATATTGGTCATATTATTCCTGCTTTTTTTAATAAAAAAAAACATGTAACTTGAATTTATCATAATTTTAGTTTACATTCTCAACTCATAATTGTAAATAAAATCGTAGAAGTGGTGGTTTAATGAAGTTTGAGAAAAAAGAAAAGGTAATGAAATTATAGATGATATTATTATGATTTATGATGCTTTATTTTTGTCAAGTATAACTAGAAGTTACAGTGACCTCTACTAAAAAAAATTTCTAACTCCGTCCATAGCTGGTGGGTTCATTGTACTGATAAATTCGCCACTTCAAACTTCATTACATTAAGCTACAAAACCCTAATTAGGATCAAAGAAGAAGGATGTGTCAAACTTCATTATATTAAGCTACAAAACCCTAATTAGGATCAAAGAAGAAGGACGTGTAATTATGCTAAGCTAGACAAGTAGATTGGCACATGTTTGGTGGCTCCCTAGATCACCGGCAGATGAAACCTTTTATCTCAGCTCCACAGTTGGCAAATCTGCTGTCATCTTTTAGGTGAGAGTTTTAAAGTTAATCAGCTGCATACATATATGAGCACCGCCCACCACATTTGTGAAAGTCACATGTAGGATGTAACTAAAACATTAACTTTATTAGTTGAACAAATATATATATATATATATATATATATATATATATATATATATATATTACCCTAAGTTAGATTTTATTGATAATTCAATTAGGAGTTTAAATCTTCTGCATTTATTTTGTGTGTTACCTTTATTGACACGTGTTCATAAACTTAATCCTAGCTCTGTTGTGTATAAACTTAAGATGTGTCAATCAATGATAGATGCTACAAGGAGGTCACACACAAAATGAATGTACAAGATTTGAACTCCCCGATTAGGTAAAGGGGGATGAATTGAGATATTTTATATGATACTCTCAACTATGTTTGGTTAAGGGACTTTCAAGGTCTTGATGAACTTTTATGCTATATCGTTAAAGACACTATAAGAAAAAACTAACAATATGAACTGCTCAAACACTACAAAATGCAACATAAGATACTTAAATTGTACTATGATTCTAGACTATCGATCAGATTGCTTCTTTATATTTTGGTGCGGCGTCTAAATTCACAATCTATCAATGTAAGTGTGTGTTGCACCAACTTTAAAATCTTTCCCACATAAAACATACATATACAGTTGTATATTGCACAGATAATTCATGTGCAAGCATTTGATGATTTCAGCCTTTGAGGTCCCCAAAAATAACCAGGCCAGGGTGGAACCCCATACTGGTTTATTAGGCTTAACTCCTCAAGGAAGAAAACAGATGGATCATGAATGGAGAAGTAGCTTAGGACCACAACAATTCGAGGAAGCTGAGCAGAGTGGGTCAAATTATTGTTTGATATATGAGGAGGATGATCGTAGCCATCTATTTCTCATCCACCGCATGTCCTTAGGGCTGGAAGTTTTTACAGTAATACGTCTGTATATGATTACAGCTCATATGGTAAAAGTCAGATTTTATGACATTTCTCATATGATTTCTTCCACCGTTTTGGTGGGTAGTCTTTTTCTCAAGTGCTAATAAGAACACTGCACCAATTGGATGAAGGCGAATGGATGTTATAAACTTACAAGTGATAGCGCTTTTGGAAAATTTTGAAACTAGGTTTTTGAAGACTTCCAAACTTTTTTTTTTTTTTTTGTAGATTCTTAAAATATCATTAGATCATAGTATAGAGAATAAAAGTCTAATGGGTGCAAAACTTGGCTAGCTTTTTTTCACACACCTATTTTTTTTCCATCTGCACATTTTTATTTATTTATTTTTCTATTGATTCTCTTCTGACTTGTTCAGCCTAATGGTAAAAAAATAAATAAGAGTTTGCAGGGAGAAAAAAGTGTGTGTGAATCGTTTTCCTTAAAACTTTCTCTTGATTTTATAAAAATTGCAAAATGCAGCTGGCTAGACACACAAGCAATAAAGAAAGATTTCCTTGGCGTGATTTCAAGGAAAGAGTGTTGTGAACCTAGTGGTGCAATGCTCATGTCATAAGGTTAAAACCTTATTCATATGGGGAGGGTCCTACTTCAGCTAATAGAATACATAAAATTAAAGCAGAGAAAATTCCCATCCCATATAAAAATACCTAAGTGTTGTGAAATGGGTGTGAATGCCTACATAAAACAATATGCGACTAAGGATGAAAGATGGAAGAATAAGAGTAAAAAATGCATGGCTTAAATAGTAGAAGTTTGGTTTTTACTATTTTAGTGTGTAAAATTTCTACATGCATTAAAAGAGATATCGGGTGAAAACCTCTATAAATAGAGTTATCATACTATTGCAACAACAAAGATCAAAGCAGAGTGTAATAATACGAGTTTCCCGCTCCTCTCTTCTTATATTTTCACTTCCCTTGTCTGACATAAGTAAAGAAAATAAATAAGGTGATACATTGATCTTGTTTCTGTTCAATATCTAGCAAACTTTTTCTCTCATTGCGTCTTTTTATAACCAAAATAAAAAAGTAAGTCCCGTAGGGATACAAAAATTAGGTTTCTTCAACTTGTCGTGGAGGATAAGTGAGATATTTGAAGATTGAAAGACATCCATGTGATTCAATAAGAACAAAAGAAATGAGTCACCAAAGGGCCTTCGGTTTTCTTTTGGAATCTCTATTCACCGGCCATTATTTTCCAAAGAAAGTGTTATGTGGGCCTGCTTTATTCCTGCTTAGTGGTAATTGGTATGTTCACTTTTTTCATGTCATGAAAAGAAGGTTTGATATTAAGTCTTTTCTTGTCGCATTAGTCAAACTATACATAATATGATATCCTCCATAACCAAACCACTCTGATTTTAAACTGGATATGTTTGACGTTTTATGTCGGCTGATCGATTCACGCATGCATTGAATAATGTAGCATGTAAAATCAAAACATTTAACTCAAAACTAATGTAATAAGTAATAAAAGACACGATCATGCGTACAACATACATTGTGAAGTAAAAAATAATTTCAAAAATTTCAGAGACGACCAATGAATTTTTTTTTTTGAAGAAGAAGACAAGAATGCTCTCGTTAAATGCAGTGCCCTCAAATATTCTCACTTGCAGTCCAACATCCCTGAAGGTTCTACGACACAATCAAGCTCGCCTACTCATGGTAAGGAGGAAAATCAACTCAAACAAGTAAAGAATCCTCGTCATATCCAATTAAGGATACTTACAAGAACATCCCAAGATATTATCTAATAATTAATATCTTTTGATTATTCTTTTCTTATCCATCTTACAGATGACACGCTTTGGCCAATGGGATGCCGTCTTGTGTAGGACAAAACCCTTGCCACATTCCTATAAATATCTCATCTCCATCAATTTTTGGTAAGTTTTTTGTTACGCACTTAAGCCCTAAATTGAAGACGATGGAAATTTACTACCACATACATTATATTCTATGTACAATACCTTCCCAATGTGAAATAATACTCTCAGTTACATGCTTGTCAACGGCACAGTATCTCCCAGAAAGTTAGTTCTTGGACAAAAAAGTTTACTTCTAAACGGCTCGTGATGTACAAGAGAACAAACTAACTAGGCATATACAGTTCCTTACAATTTTGTCGCGTGATATATTGGGACCCCGATGCTGCAAGTTTCAGTGATTGTTTAGATAAGTTGGAGCTACATATAAGGTAAAACTCACAGAAATATCATAGAAGTTATATATACAAACTTCCAAGTTAATTTACCCATATTAGTAGCTTCAGTTTTCAGCGTGGTGAGAAATTAACTACTTTATGTTAGTAGAAGTTGTAAACTCATTTTTCACTCATAATATACATCATGCGTGAATTAGTAATGTCACACGGCGAAGTTGTAGTGTTATGCTAAATATTGAGATACTTTGGATGCGGTCCCTAATCCTTAACATTTTTTGATTAAAACCTTAATGTTATTCAAAGTTTGATCAAAATCCCTTGACTTTGTACACCTCATTATATTACTATTAATATTTATATTTTTATAGTTTTGACATTAATTGTTTGATATTTTATGAGATTTATAATCCTATAAATTTAAAATCCCTCATTATAATACTATTAGAAACGGTTACAATAAAAGAATTCAAACATTTTGATTGAATAAATGGATAAAACTATGTAAAAATAATAAATAATAAATGGCAAAAGAATGTATCCATAGTGTTAAAAAAATGGGTACATTTTACAAAAAAATTGGTACATTTCACATATGTACATTAATAAAGAAGAATGGGTACATTATAAATAAATTAGAGTACATATAAAAGATTAAAAAATTATGAGTACAAATTAATTTAAAAAAAATATAGGCCCTAAAAGAAAT